CTGCTCAAACACGCCTCTGTTTGCTCCTGGTAAAAAAAAAAAAAAATCTACTTGTTGATAAAATGTTGATAAAATCTCCCTGCTTCCACTCCACAAATCTGCTTGGAGGATTGGCTGGCATTGGTGGAGCTGATTACATCGAGGAAACCGAGAGCTGCTTGTTTGTTAGCAAACACGGAAAAATGTGTCACTTTTCGTGTTTTTTTGCGGAGCGACACAATGGAGTGTTTCTGCCCTGCGATATTCATGCAGCAGACTGCAATATGTTTTGTTATCTTTGCATCTTATACCACAATTGCCTAATTTAGCAGTGCTGGCATTTTTGTTTAGATGTGGATTATGATGTTTACGAGATAAACAGGGTGGCAAATACAAATCAAGAGCAGATCTTACAAGAAATCACTGAGACAGTTTCACGCAGAGATAAATGTGCTGTATGCATGCGCACAGATGCATATTACATATTGAATACCTTTTTAAAGAACAAATGATAAGAAAGAAGGAAAGAGAGAGAGAGAGAGAAGGAAGGAAGGAAGGAAGGAAGGAAGGAAGGAAGGAAGGAAGGAAGGAAAGAAAGAAAGAAAGAAAGAAGGATGGATAGTTGGATGGATGGATGGATGGATGGATGGATGGATGGATGGATGGATGGATGGATGGATGGATGGATGGATGGATGGATGGATGGATGGATGGACAACAAAGAACTGAAGGAAGAAAGAAAGAGGAGGAAGGGAGGGATGGATAGATAGAAAACAAAAAACAGAAGGACATCAGGAAGGATGGATTAGTGGAAAACAAAGGATGAATGGATGGAAAACAAAGAACGGAAGAATGGATGGACAACAAAGAATTGATAGATGGTAGGAAATGAGGAGGATGGATGGATGGATGGATGGATGGATGGATGGATGGATGGATGGATGGATGGATGGATGGATGGATGGATGGAGAAAAAAGAATGAAAGGTAAGAAAAAAGGAGGGATAATTGGATATACTTTAAGATATAGATAGATAGATAGATAGATAGATAGATAGATAGATGGATGGATGGATGGATGGATGGATGGATGGATGGATGGATGGATGGATGGAGGGAGGGAGGGAGGGAGGGAGGGACGGACGGACGGACGGACGGACGGACGGACGGACGGACGGACGGACGGACGGACGGACGGACGGACGGACGGATAGATAGATAGATAGATATGGAGGGAGGGATGGATGGATGGATGGATGGATGGATGGATGGATGGATGGATGGATACCAAAGAAGGAGAAAAAGAAGGATGGATAGATGGATGGATGAACACCATAGGAAGGATGGATGGATAGATGGATGGATTGATACACAACAAAGAAGTAAGAAGTAAGAAATGATGGGAGAAGGGAGGTAGGGATGGATGGATGGATGAATGAAGAACAAAGAATGGAAGGAAAGAAGTATGGATGGATGGATGGATGGATGAACAGCTTAGGAAGGAAGGAAGGTGGGAAGGAAGGAAAGATGTACTTTCATTGATATCTTCTGTGATTTTACCCACTGAGCAGTTGAGATTAGCAGCATTAACTGAATAGATGGAGTCGTGTGTTATTACTGTGATCTTACATATCACAGAAGGAGCAGTAATATGTGAGATCCTTCATTTCAGCTCCACACGTGTGTTCTGTAAGAGGTGAGGTCATGAAAAAGTGCTTTCATAAAGCTGCAGTGGTTTCAGCTAATAGTGTATCAGTGAAGTGAAAACTAATCTAGACTAATGTGCGATATCGACATGCTGCTCATTTATCGTGGCTCTTTCCGTTCTAATGGGAAATGAAAGAATCATCATTCATTGCACTGATCTCTGGCCCCTGATGTGTTTGCTTGTTCATGCATTGACGATGCTTCACACCTGCTTCTCCCTCATCCTGGTAATGTGCCGCACGTCTCCCACTGCGTGACATATTTGCCGTATTGCCGTAATGTTCCCTGGAGAAATTATTCAGCGTTAATAACATTGATAAATTATTTGTAGTTATTTATTTATTATTTTGGTTTTCCGGGACTTGACACGAATATGTTATGTTCCTTCAATCTCCTAGCAAAGAAATTCCCACAGCCCTCCATGATATTTAATAAACACAAAGCAATTATCTTCCGTTCCTGTTGATTTTGGCCGTTTCTCATTTCACATCATTTTTGAAGACGATGACATGCATTCGTTTAATTGTAATGCTGTTTTTTTTTCAAAGGTGTTTGTTTATGTGATGAGAACCCTCATGCTGTTTTATTTTCACGGGCCACAAATTGAAGATGTGTAACTGTTAGATTTGTTCTTCTTCCGCTATTGAGTTTATGAACGCTCATAGAACTACTAGCAGGAAAGTTCTGAAATTTGGCACACAGATGACAGTCTGAACATTAACCACAGCAAATCTGGAGTTTTTAACCTGGTCTCTCTAGCGCCACCACCTGTCCAAATCTGCATTCAAATTTTCTCTAATAATTTAGGATCCATAAAAGCTGGAAATAAGATGATTAATATTCCATTATATTACAGGTGTTCTCAACCTTTTTCATTTCAGGGCCCACTTTTTTCTCCAATCAACTTTTGAAGGCCCACTAATTTTATTTAAATTTAATTAAATATAAAACTAAGACTATAGATTATTTATTATATATTAAAACTATACAACTGACTAAATATCTGCTATTAAATATCTATTATATAACTGACTGAATATCTACTATTAAATATCTACTATTCAAAAATATACAGACACATGTAAAATACAGAAAAACACCCCAAATCTGTTGAAATGCATCGATCTGATGGAGGTTGAGGTTGCAGCTGAATGTTATTGGGAGACAAGGAACAGTGACAGGAACAGTGAACAGATCCGCCAGAGCTTGTCTGAAGCTCATAGACAAGTTTATTTTACATGCAATGGCAGAAACACCATTGAACCTCACTAGATCCTCCTGGACGCACATCCATTATAAAATACTCACAGGACATTAATTTTGACAATTTTGACTTTTGTTCACACAAAAATACACAAAGAGAGACTTTCACTTCACGCATAATTTGTGAATGAACAGACTTACGTGTAATTGTAGACATGATAATGAGGCTGTTTTTGCACCGAGTTTGAATTAAACAGGAGAAAGAGTGTCACTTCAATCATTTTAATGTGGCATATTATTAATGACATTTAAAAAAAAAATTAACACTGTTATTTTTATAGTTAATTTTTAAATATTTAATTTTTGGCTATCTTGCAGCCCACCTGCAGGATTGCAGAGTCCCAGTAGTGGGCCGCGGCCCACCGGTTGTGAATCCCTGTTCTTTTAAAATTGCTAAATATTTTTTCTTCTGTAGAAAGTCTTATTTGTTTTATTTCAGCTAGAATAAAATCAGTTTTTATGGAGAAGCAAAATAGAGCCACTAATGGTCTAATTCAATGATTTATGCTAAGCTAAGCCAAAAGATCTCCTGTTAGATTGGCTGAATAGATTCAACGTTGAGGATTATATAATGAGCCTATTTCCCCCCTCAAAAAATAGTGGAGTGTTCGTTTAATTATCAATTAATTATTAAATACAGTCCTCAAAATTATTAGCAAAATTATTATTAGGAAATTCTGAATAATTATTAGCAAAATTAGTGGCCCTTCTGTTAACTTTTTTATTTTCTTTTTTAAATATTTCCTAAATGAATAAAAGCAGTTTTTGTCTTTTTTAAAAAAGGTCAGTATTATTACCCCCCTAAGAATATATATATATATATAGCACAAACCACTCTTATTTTTTTTTTGACTTATTATTTTGATAATTTTCCCATTTAAAGCTTGACTCCTCTGTAGTTACATTGTGTACTAATTTTCAAACTTCTTTACTTAAATATAACTTTTTGAGGGAGATGCTAATGGTCTAGAACAAGGAATTTTTCCACAGTATTTCTATTAATATCAATTCTTCTGGCAAATGTCTCATGTTTTTTTTTTTTTTTTTTTTCTTTGGCTAGAATAAAAGCAGATATTTTTTTTTTACCCATTTAAGGTCAATATTATTAGCTACCTTAAGAAATACATATTTTTTGATTGTCTACAGAACACTGCTATTCTCCAACTGTTCTCCCAGAACATCTCCCACGGCTATTATTTTAGTTTTTGTGATTGTGAATGTTAGCATTTGGATAATTTTACAATTTAAAGCCTGACTCTCCTGTAGTTACATTGTCTACTAATAAAAAGTAGATTTGTTTAGCTACAGAAGAGTTAAGCTTTAAAAGGAAAATTATTAAATGGAACTTTTTGAGCAGTATGTTAATGGTCTAATCCGATTCAATGATTTATCCTAAGCTAAGCTAAAAGATCTTCTGTTAGACATTAAGATCAGCTGAATGGGTTCAACAATGGGAGTTATACAATAAGCCTATTTTCCCCTCAGAAATAGTGGAGTGTTCCTTTAATTATCACTTACATCTATATTATATAATCATGATTGTTCTTCTTCCTTATATCCATCATTATTCTCTTCATCATGTTATGGAGAAGCAAAAAAGAGGTGTAATCTTTTAAAGAGGTCTAAAGAGGTCTAATGGTCTGATCTGATTTGATGATTTATGCTAAGCTAAAAGATCTTGTGTTAGATGGTGAGATTGGCTGAATGGATTCAACATTGGGAGCTATAAAATGAACCCATTTCCCCTTCAAAAATTGTGGAGGGGGAGGGGAAAGTCTTTTTTTTAGGCTAGAATAAAAGCAGTTTAAAACCCATTTTAAGGTCAATACTTTAGGCTGAATACTAGCATCTTGAGAAATATCTAGTAAAATGTGGTGTACTGTCATTTTGGTAAACATTAAAGAATTTAGTTATTAAAACTATCATATTTAGAAATATGTTGGGAAAAATAGGAGAAAAAAATATAGAGGAGAGGCAATAATTCAGGAGGGCTAATAATTCTGACCTAAACTGTACATATTATATAATCACCATTGTTTTTCTTCCTCACAGCCATCGTGATTCTCTTCATCACGTTACGGAGAAGCAAAAAAGAGCCGCTGATTATCTCGGAGGAGGACATCCGGGAGAATGTGGTGACGTATGATGATGAAGGAGGAGGTGAGGAGGACACCGAAGCTTTCGACATCATCGCTCTACGAAACCCTGCTGCCGCAGAGGAGCTCAAGTTTCGCCGGGACGTCCAACCCGAGTGCATCCGGCCATGGTCATCCCGGAGGCCAATCCGGAGCCGCCTCAGCCCCTCGTCCCTGGACATAGACGAGGAGACGGATGTGGGTGAGTTTATCAAACAGAGGGTGTCCGAGGCGGATCAGGACACTAGTGTACCACCCTACGATTCCTTACAGACCTATGCCTACGAGGGTCAGGGGTCTCCAGCCGGCTCCGTCAGCTCGCTCGGGTCGCCTGGAGCTCATTCTGACCTGGACTACAATTCTCTGGATGACTGGGGTCCAAAGTTTGAGAAAATTGCAGAACTCTATGGAGAGGATATTGAGACGGCGTCTGAATCCACTGAAAAAGCAGAGTCAGAGAAGCAGACATAAGTGTTTCGGAGAAAACTGCTCTAACCAATGCTAAAAACTCAACCTTTCAGCTCTTTTTAGACATCCGTGTCATGGTCTCATCGATACAGTGAGATGTTTGTAACTCAACAGCTGTAACGACTGACTGACTGCCTTTTTCTCTCGTTTTCTTTTGGGTGTTCGGAGCTCTGGATCCCAACAAGACAATGATTTTGAGAAGAAATGAAACAAAAACAAATGGAAAAAAAACTAATGAAAATAAGGAAACTATTTTAACTGGTGTATATTTTTTATTGCTCAATAAAGTCCTGAGATCCTGACACATGAATATATATGAAGCAATCTTTCATTGGGGGGTGGTTATATATAGTGGGGGGAAAAGTATTGAAAAGGTCATGTTTTTCCAGGGAATAATATTTCTAAAGGAGCTATTAGTATGGAATTGAACTGGGTATACAATACAAACATAAAAAAAAATCTGACAAATGAGTTTTATGTGTAATAACAATGAAATGATACAAGGAGAAAGTACTATACTGCTGAAATGTATTCAATACTTTATATAAAAAGCTTTTTTGGTGATGGCAGCTTTGAGACGCCCTTTCATATGGAGAATGAAGTCACATGCATTGCTCATGTGAGTTATTCACTGACTTCAACAGAATGTAAAAATCTTGATGGTTTTGCGTCTCATCTATGAAATTCGATCTTTAATTAGTATTCTCTATTGGATTCAAGTCAGGTGATTGGCTGGGCCATTCTTCAGCTTGATTTTCTTTTTCTGAAACCATTTGAAGTTTCCTTGACTGTGTTTTAGATCATTGTCTTGCTGAAATGTCCCCTATGGTTTCATCTTCATCATCTTGCTGATGTAGATGTTGGACTGAAGCAGCTGATATTAATTTACAATGACGAAGGGTAGAGAATTGCTGAATAACTACTGAGAGGTTTAAGCTGCTGTCTGAGCTTTCATTGCGTTTCTAAACCTCCCTTTCTTTATATGTTCAATTTCTTTCCATGTGTCATTTCATTTTATTACAAAGAACTTCCTTTTTAAGTTAATTAGTGTTTTTTTATCCTATGCATATATGGATTTTAATTATTATTATCAACATCCGGGGACATTTTCAAGTCCACAGGACCTTTGGAAATATATTTTTTGAGCAAAAGTCTGTGTTCAATACGTATTTTCCTCACTGTATAAGGTTACACATTATTGTGTCACATTTACTACTATCTACATACATTTAAATTAGTTTTTAGAATTATTGCTATATAATTACGTATGTAATTAATTTCTGTAATTCCATTTATGGTTCACTGTTTACATCTCTTACTCCTTAACCCACCCTTAAATTAACTCATTCTCCGATACCTGTTCCTAACCTTACCCATATCCCAGCGTAATACAATACAAACACACTCCGTCTTTCGGATGAGACGTTAAACCGAGGTCCTGACTTTCTGTGGTCAATAAAAATGTGTAACCCCGGTGTCCTGGCCAAATTCCCTCAATCATGACCTAACAATCATCCCCATCCACCAAATTAGCTTTTTCACTGTCTCTCCATTGCACCTATAGCTAGTGTGTGGTGAGGGCAATGGCGCCGTTGTCCTGTGGCTGCCGTCAAATGCAAGTGGATGCTGCACACTGGTGGTAGTGTGAAGAGACCACCCATACACGATAACTGTGCTATGCATTTTACTTTTTTTTATGTAAGTACGTAGTACTTCATTTGAATTAAATTAAAGTGTAACTATATATACACTACCATTCAAAAGTTTTTTTTTATGTTTTTTTTTATTCTGTTCATCAAGGCAGCATTTATTAAATGTAAAAAAAATTGTAAAAATTGTAAAATATTTATTAAAATTTTAAATAACTGATTTTTTATTTTATGTAGTTTCAAATGAAATTATTAAGATGCGGTCACACTAGGGTTTGTGCGTGCGAAATTCTGTCATACGGCGCTGTGAAAAGGGGCGGGATTACACAAGATGATTAGACATTTAAAAAAGCGAGTGATTTGTTCATATTTTACATTTCTGTCCAGAGAGGTCATGTTTTGATCCTCGATTGGTCTCACACAGTCAAGATATGCAATTTCGCAGGTCAGAGTTCACCAAGCTTGAACTTTGCAATGGAGCGATCTGCGAAACTTCTCACAAACTTGCGTTTTCGGTCTGAGCCATTCGCGTGCGTATAAATGGAAGTCTATAGAGAAAAGTCCAATGTGATTGCAGCTTTACTGTCAAACCTCATAAAACATATCTCACAGCTACAGTACATGTTACCATTATTTAACCCGCAATGCAACGTAGCCTGGCAGCTGTTTCTTTCTCTCATAGGGCTTTTTTCCACACCTGTAAAAATCCTTGTTTTGAATCGAAACTTCAATCAAAGCCATTGCAGTTTCTGACTTTTACAAGCTAAAGGTTTATGCTGCGGTCACACTAAAGTTTGTGTGTGAAGTTCTATCATACGGCGCTGCAAAAAGGGGCAGGATTAAACAAGATGATTACACATTAAAAAAAGCAAGCGATTGGTCCATATTTAAATTCCTGTCCAGAGAGGTCATGTTTGATCCTCGATTGGTCTCACGCAGTCTATGGGGAGAAAAGTCCAGTGTGACCGCAGCTTTACTCCAGTCATTATTGCTTTTATTTTTATTACCATTAATACTAATAATAATAATAATAATAATAACAAATATTAGAGTAATTTCTAAAGGATCATGTGACTCGAATAGAGTAATGGAGCTGAAAACAAATCTTTAAAATCTCTGGAATAAATGATTAAAGTATATGATAAACTGCTTTTGAACAATTATTTTATAGTGCAAGAGCCTTTCAATTAACACATTTTACAATTTGTACTGTGTTTTTGATTTAATAAATGCAGCCTTGGTGAGCTGGAGAAGCTTATTTTGAAACATTTAAAAATCCTACTGACCCCAAACATATATATAGTGTATGCTATCTAACTCTGTCTCATGTGACCTCTTAAAGTTTAATCAAAATGTCTACTAAGTGCCTGTAATATTTGCTGAGTCCATTGCGTACATACATACAGTTTCCCACTGGTATATATTAGAGGAGTCTGACATATTCAATGTTACTTCAGGCTTCTCCACTCCACTGCATCATTCAATTTTAATGTGGAATTGCTGCTGAAAATCCTCTTCAAAACTCATATTGGCCCAGATTTGCCTTAAAGCATTTAATTTATTGCACATCAACATAATTGCTCGCTTTATAGTATAGATGTGCAGTTCTAAATCATAGTGAGCTGCCTTCCTTCCTAGACTGCTGTCCTCCCTAAAGCAAACGAATGGTACTGTAGAAGTTTGTTTGTGACACTGAAGAAAAGAAATCTATACCGAAGTTCAGTGTGACTATTTAATCTCATATTTCAATTTTTTTTAAAATGTTTTATTCTATTTTTCTTTTTTAGTAAGTTCTGAGTGCTAGTTTGCTAGTGTGTTTTTTTGTGATGCGCGTCATTTCCAATTATAAACATGTTAAATGTCCATGAAACTCCCTTCTTTCAGTTCAAGTCTATCTCAGATTTTTTTTCAAAAAGTGCTCCATGATGGGCGTGGAGCGCTACGAGCAGAGGGGGGAGTAAGCGTGGATGGCGGAGCAGGAGAAAAGAGGGAAACAAACAACTAATTTTAAGTTGGCTCACAAAATGAGACACACACCATAAGGAGATGCATGATCTTATAGTTTACAAAGTAAAAAAGCAAAGAAATAAACAGTAATTTAATGCCCTGCTACATTTGTTATTCGTAATATCGTATACACATAACCACAATTTGTTATATGACCATAAAGATAATCATGTAAATGAGCCAATGAGGAAGACTTCTCTCCTCCTCAATCCCCAGGTCTGAATGCACACAGTGGAGCAGTGCAGCAGGTCTCTTGCCCTGTATATTCCAACCATTAGTTCTGCTGGTAACCTGGAGGATTTAGAAAATAAGTTAACACAGCAGCACGGATATAGAGGATGTGTCTGAATGGTAACGAACTCAACTGATAAAAGACAAAGTCCACCATTCTCCAATTCTCATACAGCTCTGTCAGAAATGCTTGCTGCAAACCAACATCTTTGCGGTATCAGCCCTGACAGCATCGCAGGGAAAAAACATGCAACAAACATGTGTATCATGGAAACAAACACATAACATTACGACCCTTCATGAATGGCTAAATAGCAGCTGCTTGCAGTTTGCAAAAGCCGTCTCACCCAGTCACTGCAGGTCTCACCGCTTGGCAGGTCTGCTTTGCCTTCAGAAAGCATGTGCACTCAAGAATAAAGAAGAAGCGTCTTCTCATAGGATATTCCAGTTTTCCTTAGAATTAAAGCTAACAGTTGCTAACATTGTTTTAACTGATGTTCAACACACAAATTTGTTGAAATCTCAAAAACAGTACTCGAGGGTGTCTTGACCTGTGGTAGACCTGTGTGATATAACCTCACAATTGCAAGAAACTGAAAGGGAGATATTGCAGGATAACTTAGAATTAAGAGATATACATTTATAATTGCAAGATATAAACTTAAAATTGTGAGAAACTCAGAATTGAGAAATATTAATATGGAAATGCATCAATTCATAAATGAAAGAAATAAACTTGGAATTGCAACAAAAAATGCAGAATTCCAAGATGTAAATTCAAAACTAAGATATATCAATATGAAATTGCAACATATCATTACAAAATTACAAGAAAAAAATCTGTATTGTAATACAGATATAAACTCAAAATTGAGCAACCCAGGCTCATTATTGATACGTACTGCTATATACATTTCAGGAGAGCACCAAATCTGTTCTAGGAGGTAAGATTTTTTGCCGTTTTTGTTTTTGCGAGTCCGCCAGAGGCTGCTGTGTATGCTTTTTAGATCTCAAATTTCTCTCGCTAGTGCCATTCGCGCCTGCTGTTCTCACATAAATCCAACAGAGGCCACTGTCGACTAACTGACTGACTGACTGATGCCCCAACCCACCCCCTTCCCTAAACCCAACCAATAGTGTTTTCAAAAGGACCAATTAACCAGTAACCCACTTTCCCTAAACCCATTTGATAGTGTTTTCAAAAGCAATCCAGAGAAAGAAAAGCCCTCGCGGCCGCCTGATTTTTACCACACTTTCCAAATTTACCACATTCTTGCCCTGTTATTTATTTGCTTATTTTATTTTTTGCCTTTTTTCTGTAACCATTCTTTGCCGAACTCGAATGCCATCTTCGCAGTCAACTCCTCTCTGTGTAACAAGTCCGCCGATGTATGTGGCGAGCCACTGAGCAAACTGGTAACAG